AGGATCCTGTGTGCTAAAAAGCTATGTTTACTCTTGTTTGGATGTGTAGATTTATTTACCTATATTTATTATTATATTGCATTACTTTGACCTTTATTATAAAGTATAGAACACAAACAAAAACAAAACTAGTGTCAACACGTTCAGACTTTAATATAAGGTCACAGATTTTCTTTTATGTTTTGGGACAAAGATGTAACTTTGTTGCATGAAGTCTTATAACTTCTTCAGCTGAACATTGCTCTGTCCAGTCCATAAAATTAAGACTGAGAGTTACAAACAGTCTGTTATAAACAGACATTTCACAGGATCTTCAGTCCTACCTTTAGGGCTGATTCGGAAGTTTCCATCAGTTAATAAAATGAGCAGAAGTGTGGAACACAGAAACTCAGGGAAACACAGCGGGATGTCTCTGTGCTCAGAGTCTGGATAATCCCAACCATAACCTGCAGAGCTGCAGAACCTCCTCAACAAGCAGCTGTCCAGCCTTAAAAACAACACAGACATGGACCATCAGCACTGTTCTTTATTATTATTATTATTATTATTATTATTTCATCATCAGCTTCAGCTCGGGCTCACCTGCAGTTCACCGCCGTGTAAACAACAGGCTCTGCTGCAGCAGAGTACAGGTAACCCGCTCTCCGTGTCAGAACTCTGCTCAGGTATTTCACGTAAAGATACGYAAAACTCGGGAGTCTGTCGCCACTCACAACATTTGTCTTCAGCAACTTGTGTGAACGGTAAATGTAAACACTAACTAAACACAAAGAACAAAATGAGACAGCTGCTGCCGCAACAACAGAATTTTGTGCGTTTCCCATGTCAGGTCACAGTACAGCAAGTGCTGAGGGACAAACAAGTCGGCCCTGCGTGACCACGCCCCCTYCGACACTGCGCCCATTTTGAGGGACTAAAATTTGGAAACACAAATTTCACCTATACTGTATTTGAAAGTACCTTCTTGGTTTATTGATAAAAAAATAACATTTCGGAGTTTCCCAGCCATGTCCAATGATTGTTAAATAACATTTAAATGGCTTAGAAAAATGTCCATGAATTTGTTTCAAATTCTTCCATATTTGTTTTTTGTACAGTTCTGTTTTTTTTTATTTGTTTAATTTGCGTCCTTTTTACTGTTTATTGTAGTTTTCGTTTATGGAAATAATAAAGACTGTTACGTAGATGTAAAACTAATATAGGCACCACATAGTAGTCATTTCGTAATATAAATATAAAATTTAAACATAAATTGTGCAATACACCAGTTCAATGTTCCCACACCAAGGACCTTTCAAGGACTTTCCAGTACCAATTTCCTCAAATTCAAGAACCACGTGCAACGGCAATTACCTACTGCTACCACAGGATGTTACCAATGAACAGGTTTAATATCATGTGAATTCAATGAAAAAYTGAACAACRTAGAAGTTGTTGAGTCAGAATCAATAAAAGAAAGTGGATTAAATGTTTACCCTACATTCATATCTACAATACATGGACATGTAATTATGTCCTGAGAGGTTGGGCAGCTCCGTTTGAGAGGAGGGGATGTTACATATCCTGACCCTCAGTGAGGACAGGAGGAGCTGTGGTGGTCTCACCTGGGCTCAGAAAGACCCGCCCTACTCTGCTCTGATTGGCTAAAACTATAACTATGRTTCACGTTATTTGTTGAAAGCCACGTCAGTTTACTGTAATCCTGAGTTATCCATTGCAACAAATCTAAGTTTTTTTCTTTACATATGTTAAAAATCAGTTGTGTGAATAGAGAACTTCAATCCCCCAAAAATATTCAAGGACTTTCAAGGACAAGTGTAACTTTCGGCTGTTTTCACAAACTTTCAAGGATTTCAAGGACCCGTGGGAACAATGCCAGTTGGATTATTCTGTGGAACTTTGCTAGTTACTGTATATTTACAATAAAATAATATTCTGGGAACATATTTTGTGTTTTTTTCAAGTGTTCCAGTAAGAAGCAGAAATATCACATATTGACTTCATTTACCTGCACATTCAAACAACTTTGCCTGTGTTTGTCTCCATTGTTGATGGTATTTCAGAAAACTCTTGTTAGCATGCTAAGTCAATGTGCAAAGTGATCTTGAAGAATCTTTAATATTAAGCATTTTGACAAAATACACAATTTCAGGACTTATTTACATAATTTGCAAGTACAAATCACATTTTTACTAGTCAAAAACTAGTAAAAAAAATAGTAAAATGTAAAACCTGTTGAGCTAATAAGATTTAGTTGAGAAAAGTTGAAACCAAATTCAGCTCAGCAGTTTTTAACTCCTAAAGACATTCGTGTTTAGGCTGATGGGAGATTCGTGCAACTGTTTCTTGACACAGGTCTTCTGAGCAGATGAACATCTTCTCCTGGGAGCAGGTTTGATGGTCCCAACTTCATTCACTCTTTATCCAAACAGGAGCAGCAGCACAATGCAAACTGTATTCACTCCTATCAGTGGCACTGTAGAGAGACACAGATAATTAGTGTTATACAGTTAAAATCTGCATGTGACAAGTGTGTGTTCGTCTGAGTGGACATCCACCTCTCATCACTGTCCTCACAGACCGGATCAGGTTCATCAGCTGCACTTTGATGCCTGGTTCATCACCGAATCCTCCAACACTTTGGTCCACTCCCCAGCCAACTAAACACACACAAAATGACAGATTTTCTGTTACACATCCAACACTTGTGAGGTTTAATGCGTTSAATAGTACAATCGTAACATTGCTGCAATAAAAAATAAATAAACTTAAACGTTACCAAACCCACTGAAATATTAATTTCAAATAACGAGAGGTTAGCACAAGCTAACGAAACAGCTAGCTCAAAACGTTCAAGTCAAATGACTTAAAGGAAAAAGCAAMAACTCATGAGTGGTGGAGACAACTACATACTTTTACTGAGAAATCGTTCTTCATGTAACACAGCCACAGCGTTAATGCACAGGATGGCAGCCTGGATAAGAGAATACAACGTAAAGGCCATGATGGTTCAGCTTAGCTGAAGCTATTTACGTATGACGTAGTSTACGTACGGCAGCCGAGGAAGGATAAATATGTTCGAGTCGCGTTTTTGTAGAGAAGCGGCGAAGCGAGAGATGGAGTATTTCAATGAACAGCTGCAAAGAAAAGCAAYAGGATTTACTTTGTATAACACTAAACCGAAATTAGTAATATTTYCTGTCTCTACAAAATCACCCGTTTTTTTTTTCATTTAGAAAAACAAAACATTCGTATGAGTTGATTATACTTTAACATTGTTTTCACTGAGGCAATAATGTACAGGTCCTTCTCAAAAAATTAGCATATTGTGATAAAGTTCATTATTTTCTGTAATGTACTGATAAATATTAAACTTTCATATATTTTAGATTCATTGCACACCAACTGAAGTAGTTCAAGAC